GATGTGCACCCGGCCGGATATTTGTTATGCGGTTGGCTTGGTAAGTCGTTACCAATCAAATCCTGGGAAGAAACATTGGATGGCAGTGAAGAGGATCCTCAGATACTTGAAAGGGACAATGGACTATTCTTTGTGTTATGAAGAAAGTGATTTACGCTTGACTGGTTATACAGATGCCGATTGGGCTGGCGATCTGGATGAGCGTAGATTGACTTCAGGATATGCGTTCTTACTCAGTGATGGTGCTATTACTTGGAGTAGCAAAAAGCAGTCTTGTACAGCTTTATCCACGATGGAAGCTGAGTTCATTGCATGTTCAGCATCAGTTCAAGAGGCTGTATGGTTAAGGAGGTTCTTAGAGAGCTTACAAGTCACAAGAGAGGCTTCGTGTCCAGTGACTATCCATTGTGATAGTCAAGCTTGTATCACTTACATGAAGGACCCCAAGAATCATGGAAGGACAAAACACATTGAAATTAAGAATAACTTCGTAAGAGACATTGTGGAAAAGAAAGAAGTGGTCCTTAAGTACATATATACGCATAGGATGGTCGCTGATCCATTTACTAAGCCCATTCCTAGAGATGTGTTCCTTGCACATGTTCGAGCGTTAGGTTTGCGTAGAGTTTGATGTATGTACTAATGGAGCTTTGCTATTTGACATTGTATATATGTTTGATATTTAATACATATCTAAAGATATTTCAAACATTTTACAATGGTCTCTTTTAGTTTGCATACTTACATATAAATTTTGAGAAGTGTCCCCAAGTAAGAGATTGGTTCACTCACATGAACAATCGCCTTAGATTTCTTTGTGAAAGGCTAAGATGAGACGTGATGAGTTTGGCGCTAGTGGGAGCTTGCCTTATAAAACTTATCAATGTCGCCTTAATAAGAAGTTAAGATGAGATACTTCTTTTTAAAATAGCGATCATGATTGTCCCAAAATCATGAATACTTGGCATAGCTGGATAAGTACATAATCAGGCGCTAGAAAGCGAGCTGGTAGTAGTTTGATCATATAGCAATGCTTGGTTTATCGAAAAGGATTATACTCTTAAAAGAAGAGTTAATCGCTATAGCATGTGAGTCATACCACATGTGCTAATACGACCATATAGGAAGCAAGTGATTTTTTTTTATTATAATCCATATCTCTTGCAATGTGAGTTCCTATTAACCTATTTATGGTTCCAAGGTCACCCTTGAACCTTCGGCTATGTTTTGAAAGGATGAGCTAATGTTTGCTACTTTATTATGTTTTTCGACGGTGATGAAATAATTAGCCTTATGAAACATGCTAGGAAAGCAGTTAGTTCAGATCCGATAAACATGAGAAAGGAAGGGAAAACTATTTGTTTTTATATTGACATATGTGTTTGCTGGCCAGCCACTATATCACTCAATTGGAGTTTGTATATAGTGAACACATGATGTAAGAAAATGTCCAACATATGCTTTAGGGATAAGATATGTTATGGCTGATATAAAAAGGCAAATGAGTTTGGGGAACAGCGAGACATGCTGAAATTCAATATTTTTCTTAGGGTTGTAGCTTGTATGTATCCCTAACAGGTGCATAGTTTAGCTTCTAATTGCAAGTGTATTCGCAAGGGTCACACGGTTCATTTGTCGTATGATTTCCGATTTGCGATTCTCAAGCTTAATCTCTAATATTTCTTCAATGCTTGTTATGCTTCATATCATGTGCGAGTGGGAGATATTGGTTTATGGTCGGTTTGCGCCCATGATTTGGCAGCATACTGAACTGGTTGATTAAACCGGCAGTTATAATTATAATTCCATATATGAAGAGTTGTGACTCTTCAGATGATGTCTCTTCAATAAGTATATAAATGAGACATTGAAGAGAGATTTTTCTTGTGTCTGTTTACAACAGTTTGTGACTGTTGGTAAACAAAAAAAATACAGAAGAGAGAGAAAAAGTTTTAGAGAGAGAAAGCTTGGAGAGATCAATTGGAAGAGCATTTAAACGGTGATAAGTGGTTGATTTTCATCTGTGATTTTTTCTCCGATCTTTGCGTCCGTTTTCAGATCATACTGAGTCATATTCATCGTTTAACCGGACAAAAATATGTGTTCAGTTTTAAATGCTTCCGCATAAAACTCTTACATATGCATTTTGTATGTTTTTGTGCAGGTTCTGTTGTTTTCATTGCAAGAATTAAAGAGATACCAAGATTAACGAGTTCCCAAGATCAACGTGATCTCTCTCTCTCCGTTTAAGCCGTGAGGTCACGGCTAGCCGCTGCCAATCTGTCACAACCTTCGTGTGACTTGTTAGTATTGTGCGGGCTGATTTGAGAAGCTAGAAGAACATAACGTGTTACAGATGTTGGACTAATGAGACGGGAGACATACTGAAGCAGAACATACGCTGAAGCAATACGTAATTACTTATGCGGGTCAACATACTCTGGCCTTATTGACACAAAACAAAAATAACGATGACACATAACATAATATGATTTGGCAATAACGATGCAGGGACATAGATCCTTGACATAGTAATGCACGTTGATATCTTTTTCTATCAACAGAGTTTTCAAACAATCTATTACGATTACACTACAAAACATCACATAGGAATCACATATTCCTATGACATATATTATTAAAAATCGTAGAAAACAGATTTTTTCTATCAATTTCCTTTAAAATATTTCTGTAGGTTATAAACTATGAGAGATTTAAACGGACACAAAATCATAGAAAATTTTCTATAAAAATATTGGCAGGAAAATTTTATCCAAAATGTTGATATGATATTCATAAGAAAATATCTACCAAATTACTTTCATTTTTTTCAGTTTAATTCTTTCTAATTTCTTACAAAATATTACCTTTATATTTTTACGAATTAATCCTACCATTTTTCTATCACTTATCAAATTTTGTATAAAATTGATTTTATAAAGTCAAAAATGGAAATAAGTTTAGAAACTAAAACTAAATTAAAAATGAATTAATTGGTAATTCGATTATTAATATATATAGAGAAGACGAAGACTAATTAAAGAAAAGATGAAGACTCTTATTTATTGTGCAGGTTCATCATCTAAATTCTATAAGGTTTTCGAAGTGGGATAAACCAAAAGCTGAATATTTCAATAGAATTGCTATGATTTTTTTACAGATAATATTCCGTATTAAATACTTAGTAAATTGCGATAAAAGACCCACCAGCTAGCATAACAATCATCACTTTCCATCTAAATTTAAATCAAATTTTCTATGAATATAAATATGGTGGATTATTAGTAGGAAATGCTCTATCATTTTTTGACGTTTGATTTTCGTAAAAAAAGTCTTACCAATTTCTCATTATTTGTATTTCATCATAATTACATAGAAAATTAGTTATAATTTTTTTTTACCAAATATTTCATTAGAATTTTCATAAAAATATGAGATTTTTTTGTAGTATTATGTTCAATTCAAATTTTATTTAATAAAACGTTATTTTATTCAAGTTGTCTCCGTCGGGAATTTTCTTATTGACTAAGAACGAAGAGTCGTTCAACTTTATCATGTAGCTCTAGTTCATAAAATATTGCTTTGGATTTTTTAATAACATTTTTTAATAAGGAAATCGAGTTGGCAAAACCCCAGAAAAAGTCAGTCAATGCCATATTTCCTATATTTGTTATTCTTTCTATTCAAAATATAAATTGTAATAAAAATTATTTATATTTATTTTAAATATATTGTGTTTATTTCTGATGCAAATGATTGATAAATTTCTATTTATATTTTTATTCTTGTAGTCTATTAATTAGTATGAACAAAATAAAATATATTAATAAGGAATAAAATAAAAAATATAACTATTTTTAAATAATTAAAAATTTAAAAATATAAGGATTGAATGCCATCCCTACTTAAATGGCTAAATTAGTGTTAAAAAAAAGTGATAGGCGTTAGGCAGATGGTGATATAACACATAGCGTCTAAAAATATTTATGTATTTTAAGCGTTTACAAAATAAATTAATATTATATATTTTATAAAATATAATATATTAAATTACATAATTTGTTTATAAATAATAAAGTTTACATATAATGAATTTAAATATATATTCAAAATTTTAAATTACATACTAAAACAAAAGAAATCTTATAAATATCAAATATAAAATTCTTAAGAAATAATCGCAATTATCTATGAACGTCTAGTACCTAGATGAATACGTTCATATATGGACGGTTTATAAACGTCTAGGACCTAATAGTGATTAAACAATTATCTAGACAGCCTTTTAAAACACTGGCTAAATGTTTTCGTTAGTAAAAGCATCCATAGTGAACTACCATGAGGTTCACCTTAAATTTTTAATTAATAAAAAAATTGAGAAGAGAGAAAAGATCAAAAAAGAGAGAAGTGGAAGAAGAGACGAAGAGAAGAGAGAGAAAGAGAGAGAAAGAGAAAGAAGATGGAAGAGAAAAAATACTAACCAATAGAATTCTAATATGTCACCATAAACTTCACATGAACCTGTCTCTAAAAGTTCTATAATTAGAACTTGTTTTATAGAAATTGGATTTTATTTAATTATTTTAAATGGAAAAAATTCATGAACCTCACCTAAAATTTTTCAAAGAGCCACCGTTACAGATGCTAATTACTCCTATTTAACAACATTTTATGTGATTGGTATCTAAAAGTCTTATGACTTTGTGACTTGACCCATTCTCTGTCGCGTATTATCTTTAATTTAGATTATTTTTAAAGTTAAACGGAGAGGGTTGACTTTCTTCGATAAACGAATATACAACAACTACTTGATGATCTAGGATTCTGGGTCCATCTTCATAAAAAGCGGAGAGGGCTACTTATTTTTTACCTAAGTTTTTCCTCTAAACTATCAGCTATCATTATTACCGTGGTGATTTGTCAAGAAACTTCATTTTTTAGCTTAGCCTAATGGCCTTTCCTACCCCCATCTCATCGTATCTGGGTACACGACGTTTTTCCCAGCTTTAGTGGGGAAGACGTCCGTGTAACTTTTTTGAGCCACTTTCTCAACGAGCTTGAAAGAAAATTGATCATTGCTTTCATAGACAACAACATTGAGAGAGGCCAGTCGCTTGATCCCCAACTTAAACAGGCGATTAGGAATTCTAGAATCGCGGTGGTCGTGCTCTCCAAAAGGTATGCCTCATCAAGCTGGTGTCTTAATGAATTGCTGGAGATCATGCAATGCAAGATAGAGTGTGGCCAAGTGGTGATACCGGTTTTTTACGGTTTGGATCCTTCTCATGTGAGGAAACAAACCGGTGACTTTGGAGAGATCTTTGAGAAGACCTGCATAGACAAACCAGAGGAACTGAAAAGTCAATGGAAGCAGGCTTTGACTAACGTGGCTAATATCCTCGGATATCATTCAGTGGCATGGTACGATTTCATAAATCATTTTTTTTTTTTGGGTATGTTGATTGCACGAATTCTAACCTAATTAACTTAAACCGCTAGCATCTGATGAAATGAGTGGTTAGTGGTAGTATATATGGGATTGAAATCCATAAGATATACAGCGATGGTTGTTTAATTTTTGTCACAATAACTAAAGTCTAAAGCTAAAGGACAGTAACCCAAAGCAAACAATTAAGATAAACTGAAAATAGCTAATCTGTTGCTAAATAAAAATTGAAGTTATATGTCACTAAAGGTGTCTACATAAGATTTAAAAATTTCATTCTATTGATCCACATCAATATTTAAAATTAAGAAAAGTTTTCAAATTTTAAAATTGTATTGTTAATAAAAAAATATTGATCTATTAATAAAGTTGAAGCTATATGCTTCTAAGAGTATTCTTATAAGATTTAAAAGTTCAATTCTATTGATCTACATCGAAATTTAAAATTAAAAAAAAATCAAATTTTAAAATTTTATTGTTAATAAAAAATATTTATAAAAAAAAAGTTAAAGCTATATGCATCTAAAAGACATCCATATGAGATTTCAAAAATGTCAATTCTGTTAGTCCACATCAATAATTAAAATTAATAAAAAAATTTAAATGATAAAATTGTATTATTAATATAAAAATATAGGAAAATTACTTAATTAAAATATTTCATTATTATTAATAACAGTTAAAGATATATACTTTTCAAGGTGTCCACATCAGCATCTAAATATTAATTCTATTCGTATATATCAAATCAAATTAAAAAAGTAACCAAATTCTAATATTATTGTTAAGAAAATAAATAAAAAAATAAAGAAATCTCTATTAAAAACGAAAAAAATAACATGGTATTAAAATCTCCATTATCACTTTTTTATAAATTTTAATTTGTTTATCTAAAAAATATATATACTACTTATACAAGTTAAATTTACTTGATTTTAAAAAAATTCACGTAAAATTGTAAATAACTAATAATTATAATTTACATACATCTAAATTTTTGACACATGTCAAAACATATTGCCACATATTATACCAAAATTATCAAAAAAAATTATATTTTGTATATTCGATTTGGAATTAGATTATATTAATATAGAAATTCATAATTTTGAGTTGTTTAATTTGTTACATATTTTCTAAATTTTTATTTATCTAAATTTTAGGTTTTGCCTACTTAATTATAATTAGAAGAACTGAAAATAAATTATAAAGAAACTGAATATAAATATCAAAAAATCATTAAAAAAATTAATATGATATAATTATTAAAACAAACAGATATGACAAGAATAAAAATAAACATGATAAAAACTATTTTTCATTCTTATTAGAAGATATGAGAATTATTGAAAAATATTTAAAAGTTAATAGAAATAATTGATAAAAAATATATTAAATTCACAAATTTTATGTGATTTTATTCATTTCATATTCAACTATTTTTTTGTTTCAAATTTAAAATTATTATTAATCTCAAAGTAAGAGTTGTGTTTATTAGTTTGTTTTTCAAATTAATAAGTTAAAATAAAATTTTGTATTAGTTAAACAATTATTATATTTATTGTCTTTAAAAAACATATATATATATATATATGAAAGAGAAAATGATGAAAAAAATTTATATTTTTGATTTAAAGAAGTGATGTCCATACTATATTAAAGTAGCATTTGATTAATTTGTAACATTTTTAGTTGGTTTTGTTATATTAACTTATAAGTGTTCGATCAAATACTATGTTTTTGCAATATGACATATATAAATTCAAAACAAAATCGATAAAATCTTACAATTTACATAAAAATTATTAGATTAACACTATAATATTTTTAATATATTATTAAAATTATAATTGATTGTATATAACATTTATTAACAAAATATCCACGCTAATCTAGTAGAACAATAAAAACAAAAGCTAAGCAATTAAAGAACTAATTCAATTATGCTAAAAAAAAAATATTTTTAACGTCCTCAGTTAGGCTAAACTTTTTTGCAAATTAGAAAACCAATGAGTTTTAACAAACAATTCAATTAATCCGTTAATCACCTTATCATCAATTTTCATTGGCTCAGGAGGAAAACCCCATTTCAAATTTGGTTTTGACATTTTATCAGACACTTTTAAGATATAAAATATGTTGGATATACACATCAATCTAACTTTAAGCACATCTACACTTTGCGTGACTCAGAAACACAGAAAAACTGGAACTGATATAATATACTCAAACCAAACTAAATTGAACCAAAAATATTGAATACCAAAAATATAATTATATAGTAGATTTTAATATGTGCGTCCGCACGAAAATATTTTTTATTTATCAAATATTAAAATATAATTTGTTTTTTATGATAAAATTTATATATATATTAATAAGTGATAAATATTTATTTCATACTTAGATATAATTTTTTGTAGATTTAATTATAACTTGCTCGTTCATAATAATACGAAAATGATTGTGATTATAAATCTAACCGCTTGTTTATACTAATATTAGAACTACCCAAAATCTGAAAGAACTGACTCGAACCAAACTGATTATCTGAACTTAGTCAGACATTCGTTTGGCATGTGTGTAACGATCATTTAATTAGGGCATATTTAGGGTTTAAGGTTTGAAAATGGAGAAAAATGTGATCATCACATAATTTGTTAACTGACCAACCATATAATTTTTAAAAAATTTTTTAAAATTTTATACAACATCAAACTTCTATACTTGTCAAAACATATATTATAACTTATAACATTTATAACATATTTTAAATCTTTAACATTACACATATAAACCAAAGTTATTTTAAACTTTGACAATTTAGAACTAATATTTATTCATTAGAAAATGTTTATTTATGTATTTAACAAATTTTAGACTAACCCCTAAACTCCAAACCACAATTTCATAAATATCCGTCGAAAATCCGTCAGAAATTTCCAACAACGTTCTAGAAGATATTTATAAAATGTATTTAAAACTAGAAAAATATGGATAATATGGTTTTGAATTCTAAAATCAGTCATATTTTCATTGGAAATCCGTCAAAACTTTTCCACAGAGTGCAGTTGTTGGAAATTCATCAGAATTTTTCGACGGATTTCGACGATGTTATATCCATCACAAATTCTGATGGATTTCCGATAGATGGTAATTTTGTTTGAAAATTGTCGAAAATCCGTCAGAAATTTTCGGCAGATAAATTTCCGTAAGAAATTCTATCAGAAATGAGCTTGTTTTCTGTAGTATTTGTTACTGATTGAGGAAGAAGAAAGCTCCGACGAGATCTGGCACTTCTTGTGCCATCCTCCTCGATTTCCACATCATTTCCTGATTCTCGATAATATTTGATCCATCCAACTTTCACGAGACCTAAATTCAATAACAACAACAACAAATGTTATAATAACCACATAAGACACTTAGACATCTGTGGTAACGGGTGCTCAAAGATAAAACTTAAATAATATGACACAGATATAATATGCTGGCTATCAAACAAAGGAAACTATTTTATTAAGGGAGACAGAAAGTTCAGAAAATCTTGCTGGAAGTTTGGAACTAGAATTGGAATGCATCAGATGGTACTAGAATCAGAATGCATCAGAATTAAGTATAACATAGATATTTGTAGTTACTTAGTTAACCCTAATCCACATAAAGACCTTAAAGTAATAGCTTCAGCCCATCTTGGAGTTACCCTAACCGACAATCTGCAACAAGTTTCATAGCTTACACCTCCTGTGATGATCTACAGGCCCGTGCCTATATGTAGTAAAATGAAGTATTGGCCTACGGGCCCATGTTTTTATAAAATATTAAGGGTCCATTTTTATTACATTCAATATTTTAGAATCCTAAAACCATTTTTAATCAAAATAGTTAATGAAAATTTTCAGAAACAGTAATAAACATTAGAAAAGGAAATTAGGTTAATATACACAATTCGCCTTATCAATGTTTTCAGTTTTCACATTCGTCTCTTTACTTTTTTTTTAACCAGAGATAATGTATGTTTGTTTTTCTTCTTTTTACATTTACAAACAAAATCAAAATTTTTTTTACTATTTGTTTTCTCAAATATAAAATAAATATAAGCATAATTTAAGAATTGAGATATTTTTATTACCACCTAGGGTCTCAAGAACTCTGGGCACGGCTCTGATGATCTATCACGTTGCTTATAAATGGTATGATCAGCGAGCAGATATGTAGCTTGCACTTTCTGCAGTAGGTTCTGCAGTATGCTGTGAAAATCGCATAATTTGTAGCATGCTACGTAACTGTCACCTACAACAGTGTTGTATAACATTAAGATTAGGTAGATATTATTGGGCCATGAAATCTTAATTAGTAGAAAATGTATGAGAAATATGCGTACATCGCAAATTAAGAGAGATATTATATGATATATATATATATATATATATAAGAATTAAATTAATTTATTCATTACCAATTGATTTTGAGTTAGAAACTTAATATAACATTATAGCTCGCACTTTTTGCATTTTGCACCTACGGCAATATGCACCTTATGCAGCTAACAGGTTCAAGTCATTATCAACAACATCTAAACACAAGAAAATAATACTACGTACAATGAAAACATAACAAAGAGAGTAAAGACCAACAGAACAAAACGATAAAAACAAAATATATCATTTATCTATCTTGAATTAATCTTATTTCATGTTTGTGAAATTCGGTGTGTTCCTTTTTAGGGGTAACGAAGCAAAAATGATTGAAGAAATTGTCGACGATGTTTTGGATAAACTGCTAGTAACTACGTCTAAAGATTCTGGGGATTTTGTTGGTATTGAAGATCATATCGCTGAAATGAGTATGTTGTTACAGTTGAAATCTAAGGAAGTGAGGATGGTTGGTATATGGGGTTCCTCGGGGATTGGTAAGACTACCATTGCAAGAATTCTGTTCAATCGTCTCTCTCGTCACTGCAACAATAGTGTGTTCATAGATAGGTATTTCATATCTAAGAATATGGAAATTTATAGCAAAGGCAACCCGGATGATTATAACATTAAGTTGCACTTGCAAGAAAGCTTACTCTCTAAAATATTAAATAAAACGGGCATAAATGTAGATCACTTAGGTGCAGTGAGGGAAAAGCTACAGCACCAGAAAGTTCTCATATTTATTGATGATTTGGATGATCAAGTGGTGTTAGATGCCATGGTGGGTAAAACCGATTGGTTTGGCTGTGGAAGCAGAATCGTTGTGATTACAAAAGATAAGCAATTTTTAAGAGCCCATCATATTCATTATATTTACGAAGTCAGTCTTCCATCTGAAAAACAAGCTCTTCAGATGTTCTGTCGATATGCTTTTGGAACAGACTCTCCTCCACTTGATGGTTTTATGGAGCTTGCTTCTGAAGTTGCATTGCGTGCTGGTAAGCTTCCTTTGGGTCTTAAGGTTTTGGGTTCCAATTTACGGGGTAGGAACATAGACCAATGGATGGAAATGATGCCAAGGCTTCGAAACGATTTGGATGGAAAAATTGATCAAACTCTACGAGTTAGCTACGACGGGTTAAATAACAGAAAAGATCAAAAGTTATTTCGTCACATTGCATGTCTATTCAATGGTGAAAAAGTGAATGACATCAAGCGACTACTAAATGATAGCGGCTTAGATGTTAGCCACGGGTTAAGCAACCTTGTAGATAAGTCTCTCGTACATGTAAGAGATGAAACTATTGAGATGCACCTTTTGCTACAAGAAATGGGTAGGGAGATCGTCCGTACACAATCCAAGGAGCCTGGAGAACGAGAGTTCCTTATGGATTCACGAGATATATGCAATGTACTTAATAATAGCACTGTAAGTTCGTGCTCTTTTCATATATTTCACTCTATAAAGATTCAAGAATGTGATCATTTGATAAACGATGAACTGTGTAGATATTTGCTAGGCTGATGAATTGTCTTTTTTTTTTTTTTTTTGATTGATATTATGATTATTTCAGGGTACTGAAGAAGTTTTAGGTATAGCGTTGGAAATAGATGAAAATGATGAACTGAAAATACACGAGAGTGCTTTCAAACAGATGCGTCGTCTTCTTTTCCTAAAATTTCACACTAAGCATAAGAAAGAAATAAGATGGCACTTACCAGATGACTTCGACTATTTGCCCTCTACGCTCAGATTACTGAGTTGGGAAAAATACCCACTAAGTTGTATGCCTCTTAAGTTTTCTCCAAAGAACCTTGTTAAACTCCAAATGCAGGAGAGCAAACTCGAGAACTTGTGGGAAGGTGTTCATGTAAGTTTTGCGTAAAATTATAACATTATTTTAATGTTTGAGTGATATTCCTTTCAAAGTGATGTGTAACTTGCTTATATTTCAGTCACTTTATGGGCTCAAGGAAATAGATTTGCAGAGATCTAAGAGTCTAACAGTAATCCCAGATCTTTCGATGGCCACCAATCTCGAGACACTTGATCTCTGTGATTGCTCGAGTTTGATGGAGCTTCCTATCTCTATTCAGAATCTCAATAAGCTGGAGAAGTTGGTTATGTCAGGTTGCAGTAATCTAAAGACTCTTCCAGCTACAATCAACCTCCAATCTCTTCATAGACTTGAGCTCAAAGGATGCTCACAGTTGACAACTTTTCCTGACATCTCAACAAACATCGCAGAGCTCATTCTATGTGAAACAGCAATTGACGAATTCCCCTCTAACGTTCGTCTAGAGAAACTTCATCTTCTTAGCATGAATTCAATGAAGAGTGAGAAATTATGGGAGAGAGAGCAGGTATGAACTTCTATACCTTTTTTTCCAACCATTTTTCAAACGTTGTGAAAAACAAAAAGTTATTCTATAGATCAACTTTGTTGCGACATATCTTGAATTACATTTTAAATTTGAAACTAACATTTTTTTACTATATACAGCGTGCTCAACATGAAGCTGATACGTAAGATTTTTATAAATAATAAACTAGACTCTAACTAATATTTAATTTAAATATTCAAAATAAATAATATATTTGTAATAATAGATATAATAAACAATATGTTATTGTATATTTTTATCATAACAAATTAATCTAAAATTTTGAATATTCAAAATTAGTAACTAGTTATATCACACAATAATATAAATGAGTAGATTAGAATTATGCTTTTTAATTACTGTTATATTTAATACTAGAGAAAATTAAATTTACAAAAATAAAACAAATTATATATAAACACAAAAATAATTTTTTATCAAAAAAAACACCAATTGTATTATAAAATTTAATTAAAAAAAAAACCCCATCTTGCATTAGTTAGAGTTATTTCATTTTTTTTTTTTTTTTTTTCAGCCGCTTACACTCCTCATGAATATGGTTTCTCCCACTTTGGAGATGTTGTTTCTGTCGGATATCCCAAGTTTGGTTGAGCTTCCTTCTTCAATTCAGAATCTCCACAAACTAATGTATTTGCAAATAACAAATTGCATAAATTTGGAGACTCTTCCAACAAACATTAACTTTGAAGATCTTGGTGCCATTGATCTTAGTGGATGCTCGCGGTTGAAGAGTTTTCCTAATATGTCAACCAATATCTCGTTTCTCTATCTACGACGCACATCAATTGAAGAGGTTCCTTGGTGGATTGAGAACTTCTCTAAGCTCAGATACCTGCGCATGAATGGATGCAACAAACTAAAACGTGTATCCATGCACATTTCTAAACTTAAATATCTTGACCGGGTTGACTTCTCAGACTGTGGGGCATTAGTTGAGGCTAGCTTGAATGGTTTTCCAAGAACGTTGGCAATGGCAAGAGACGATATATACTCCTCTAGTCCATATAATATCCGAACAGTCAATTTGGATTTTTTCAACTGCTTCAAGTTGGATCAAGATTCTCTTATTCGAAAACAATCAGTTTTCTGCAAATCGTTGATGTTGTCAGGTGAAGAAGTGCCTTCATATTTCACTCACCGCACTACTGGAACCTCTGATCTGGCCATTCGTGTACTTCACAACTCTGACTCTCAGCCACTTTTAAAATTTAAAGTGTGCGTTGTGGTGGACTGTAAATCTACTCCCATGGATTCTGATACATTCAGCATCCAAGTAGGTTGTCGGTTCAAAGACAGACTCGGTAACCACTTTGACACTGCTAATCAGCCATTCTATATCCGAGACTTGAAGTTGGGTAGTCAACTGGTTATATTTGAGTGCTTTTTCATTCTAACTGAAGACAATGCTCCTCTAGCAGAACTTAAATATGGTGACTCCCCATTAAATGCTTCTTTACAGCTTCGAACAAGTCAGGTCTACACTGACTTCAAATCACAAGGATGGGATGTAGAAGGACCTCCCCAACACACAGTCCAGTTTGAATTAAAAGGATGGGGTATACAAGGAACACGCCAAAATGAGGTCATGTCGTCTTCGTGTGCACAAGAGAGGTCTCGGTCGTCGTCTGACGTAAGTAGACAATTACTTGATGAATTTTACCTTCTAAGTTTTTTTTTTTTTTAAAGTTTCTGTATTTTTCTAAGTTTGCTCTCTCCCAGCAGCATACCGCAAAGTCGTATTCACACCATGTCAACGATATAAAAGAGTGTAAACGGAAGTGGGAGGAGCTGGTAAATGTTTTATTTTGACTTGTTTATTTAATTCTGGGTTTTTTTTTTATTGTTACTAATATATACACTACTTTTACCTCTGTCACCACAGATGAGTCAATCTGGTGTAACAGAAAATACACACACCAACAAAAGAAAAAGGCACATACAAGACCCGATCCGGCAAAAGATCATTGAAATGCTAATGAAAAAGATGACGGACCGAGATGACTCGTCATCTTCCAACGACTTGTCCCGGGATGAGATCAACCGAATGATCCTTAAAGTATGTTTTTAATTATAATTTTTTTTTTATATAATTGTTATATTTATTGATGATTTTTCTCATCCCACAGGAAACTCTACTCCTCCGTCCTTTCGGGTTAGGAAGAAGTCCTCCTAACTTTGATGGGGCTTCTTCTTCTACATTTCATCGGGAGCCTGAGCTCCTTGAAGAGATCGAGAAATTGAACAAGCAGCTCAAGGAGAAAGACTCTCGGTTCAAGCAATTAGAGAAGCAGAACTCTGAGACACGCCAGGAGCTTTCATCGATAAAGGATTTCATGCAGAAGCAATTCCCTAGTTCTTTTCCGCCATCATGATCCCTTTTTCTTTTCTTCAATAATAATATTTTATTTATATTTTAATTTTCAATAAAACCTTTATAAATTAATATAATGTTTGAATTATGAAATATTATAAATTTATCTTAATATTTTAATTTATCGCGATATTAATATCTGTAGAGATAATTTATTTTTTGCCTATAATCTTTTAAAATTTTTATTTCAAATATTAAAAAAAATAAGCTAATATTTTCTAAAAACTATGATTAGTAAACATAGTTATCATAACAACATAATTTATAATAGTATATTAATTTGTCAACTAAAAATATACATATTTACAAGTTTAAATTTTTCAAAAACCGTAACTTATTTTTTATGATGAAATTAAAGATAATATTAAAATATATTTATAAATATTTATTTGTAAAAAATCAACTATTATATAAAAATAATTCAATAATTTGAATGTATATCAGAAAACAACTAAAAAAATAGAAATGTAATACGTAAAAAGATGAACACCAATGAGATTATAACATTAAGCAAAACAATACACTAGTCATATTTTAGTATAATATATTAGATATATTTGTATGAATTTTTTATGATTATAAAATTTTGCATAAATTTATATAATTATTAATTTATATTTTTATTGGGACTATATATTTGCATAAATTTTTTTTAAAAATATTATCTTATTATTTTGATGGATTTTTACATTAACCGATTTAGAACCGATTAAATTTATTGTTTTATAGTGATTATTAATTTATAAAGTATTAATTTTTTAAAAAATTTTATTGTATTTTATAATTTATTAATTAGTAAATAATAATATATTTTCATTACTATTATAATTTGAATATTTAGAGTTATTTTTTAAAATTAATATATTCGATTAAACAACTTTTAACTATTTTCATTGAAAATCCGTTAAAACTCGTCAGAAAAATTGTTGCTGAACATCCGCCACAAAATTTTCAAACCATGAATCTGGTATGGTTGATGGAAAACCGTTTGTAAGCTATTTACCGATAAATTTCTGACTGGTATTTCCAATTAATTTATGCTGGAATATTTTGATCAAGATAACCGTTGGAATTTTGTCTATTGGAAAACTGTCAAAAGATTTCAACAAATTTTCAAAGCGTTTACTGTTTGAAATGCGTTTACTGTTTGAAATGTGCAAACACATTACCGTAGAAATATGTTGGAATTTCGTCGAGTTTTAAACATTAATTTCTACTGTTTCTTAGAATCATTAGTTTTAAACATTTATTCTATTAAAAACAGAAGTAATTTTAGTATTTGCATCCAAATACTATCAAAATTTTTTATTTAAAAATAGTCATATTAATTAAATTTACTTCAAATGTTCGGTTCAGTTCAATACGTAGGAATGATCGAATTTATATATAGTTTGACTTGATTTGTGCCTAAAATTTGTTGGCTTGACAACTGCTCATGTTAAGTAATATATTATTGACATGTGTATTGTGATCAACTTCTCTGCAGAGAGGTTTGCTAAGTTTGCAGAATTGCGAGATGTCTTAAGTTATTAGTGAAACTCACGAATTTTAACTAAAGTGATTTTATATTTATGTTTAGTAATTTATGACTTACGTATTGGGAGTGTATTAAATACGGGGTTTTTGCTAAAAATAACCCAAAATTTGACTTAGAATACAAAAGTAGACCCCTGAAAAAACATTTAGCAAAAATAACTTAAAAGAGTAGTGAAAAGACCATTTAATCTTGTATGAGTAAATAAAAAATGGATGTCCTAATTACCGTTTACACTCTGACGAAGTCTACTAAAATGAAAATAAAGTTTACTAGTAGATTTCATTTTATCGAAATGAAGTCTACTAAGTAATTAAATCTATAAATTTAATTTTAATTTTTTTTTAAAATTATTTTGGTATCAAATTTACATTCATAAATTCCGTAATCGTAACCTAATTGTACAGAAATTTTTTTTCATATTGGTAAATGGTAATGTATGTTTTTAAATTAAGAAGAAGTAAATTTATAATTTAGGTTTTAAAAGTTGTAGACTTCTATATTGAAGTCTATTAAACCGAATAAATTAACCTAACCGAAATTTAAACCGAAAGTAAACCGGAAATAACTTCCCTTAACCAAGAGAAACTGCCTATAACCGGGTAAATTTACCTAGACCCCGCAAAATTAGTAACCTTAACCGAAAAAAACTTACCCGGACCGTACGGAATTACCAGACTATATAAACGAATTTTACAGATCCCGTTAAAAAAAAAACCGTCGAAAGTTCGTGTAAAAAAAAAAAAGTCGAAGGCGATTTCTGTTTCTCTGCTCCGGCGCCGCCGACATACAGAACCGCCGCCGATAAACTCGTTCAGGCAAGTTTTCTTTCCTCAACCACACCCCCATGCTTCCCTACTCCTCCGTATTCATCACCTTTCCGTTTTCGTAACCCCCAGTTTCCAGATCTAAAATTAGGGTTTTTTTTTTTTTTGCAGATCTCCTTCGCCGTTGGAGGTTAACGTCATTTCCTGCCTCAAAACGGTTAGTAGATGTTGTTCCGAAGTTATATACTTAGCAATTCTTAAATTTCTTCTTCCTGTAAATTTTTCCGTCGGGTTTGACTTAGGTTTTTTTCCCAGATCTGGTTGTATTTTCTCGACGCCAGCTTCATCTAATAAAGGCGGTCAACACTATAAACTTTGTAGATTCCATTTCGATGATTTGTTTTAGTAGACTTCATATACTGCATTTATTATGTATTGATTGCTTTGGTTGGGTTCTGTAGACTGCATATGCAGTATTTATGATGTTTTGATTACTTCATGTAGATTCCGTTGACTTAATATACTGTTTTTTTTATGTTAAGATTGCTTCGGTTGGCTTCAGTAGACTTCTCGACTCGGATTGTACTTAGAATGTGAAAGTAGACTTCATTTTGTGAAAGTAGACTTTATTTTGTGAAAGTAGACTTCATTTTGTGAAAGCAGACTTTATTTTGTGAAAGTAGACTTCATTTTGTGAAAGTAGACTTCATTTTGTGAAAGTAGACTTCATTTTGATTAAATAGACTTCATTTTAATAAAGTAGACTTCATTTTGAAAAAGTAGACTTCATTTTGAAAATGTAGACTTCATTTTGAAAATGTAGACTTCATTTTGAAAATGTAGACTTCATTCGTGTATAGTTTCAAACCGTTACTAGTTTTTCTCATTAGAGCTTTATTACCGTTGATGCAGAAATCTGTGTTAGATAATGGTAGCCTCTGAATTCCCTAGAAGACTGTACACCAAAGGGTTTGAGCCAGCCCCAGATAAAAGCATCGGCTATTATGCTGATGATTATAGGCTGGTCTCTGCACTAAAGTCAGCTCTACAAGAGGATGAATGGGAAGAGATTTACGAGTCACCATTGGTGTCTTTTTAAAGTTCTACGACTTGGATTTTGGTTGGGCTTCTAGGCTGGTGCACCACATACTGACCTTTCAGATAGTTTGCAAGCTGAGGTACGAGATATGGAGCCTGATTGGTACCACTCCAGTTCGATTTTCATTGCATGAGTTTGAGGAGATCACCGGACTCAACTGCGGGTACGTGGATGACTTAGCTTTAACTGATCTTGCGCTTGTCGATGACATGCGTGCATTTTGGGAACTAATGGGGGTCGATGCCGAGTCGGGCCCAAGCACTACCAAAATTATCGAAGCCTGTTCCAACTGCTCATCATGGTCTCGGGATGATAGGCTGCGGTTGGGTTATCTTGGGATCTACGCTGGTTTCATAGTGGCAACGAGACCTGACTCATCCACAAATGTCAACCATGCCAGACTAGTGATGGATCTCGAAGGTTTTAAGGAGTTTCCATGGGGAAGAATTGCTTTTCAGCATTTGATCAAGTCTGTTAAGGAGAAAGATCTCAGCAAAAACATTCATATAGAAGGATTTGTGCAAGCTCTTCAAGTGTGGGTGTACTATGCTCTACCGGATTTTGCTGCTGAATTTGGCGAACCATTGCCAAATGTTACTGAAGAACCTCTTTTGCTGGCTTACAAAGGATCAAGAGGATGAAAGAACGTCAAAGCCAACATGCTAAAACAGGTACTGTATTAGTGTAGTAGACTTCTATGTACTAATGAATTTTCAAAGTAGACTTCAGAAGTAGACTTCATGTGTAGACTTCTATATGTACCATTAATAGTGTTAGACATTCAGAAGTAGACTTCTATGTTAGACTTCAGGAGTAGACTTCATACGTAGTTTTCCGAGGCTTCATATGGCTAGTAATCCATTTACTTATTGTGTTTTTCCAGGCTCGCATATAGTGCTGCGTGGCTAAGGACTTGGCGGATATGTTTCCCGTGTGGGATGATGACAAACAGGATCCAGATATTGTCAAGATTGTCAATGCACTCCATGACCCCAATTTCAAGTTCTCAAAAAACCATTGGCCTTTGGAAGGTGTTTTGGGTGCACACATCGTCAAGGCAGAAGACGAAAAGAGGAGCCTTTCCCTCAGATGAATCAAGTCGCAAGAGACCCTGCACAGCCTCTGTCTCTGCCGCATCATTCGTTGGTGATGAAGGGGCCGGAGTTGTCGCTACTATGAAAGGGCACTTCGACCAATGCTTCAAAAGCTTTTCAACCAAGATGCTGAATGGTCTCGGTAGCTGTGAAAAGCAGATCAAACGTCTCACCGAGAAGGTTGAATCTGTAGAGCGTGCGGTAGAAGAGTTGACTACAGGGTCGGCGAAGCACACTGAGGAAGAGGTTAAAGACAATGTAGAGCCAACCCAGCAGCAGGGCACTGGATCCAAGAAGCATGAAGGGGTTAGTACCAAAAACCCTCCGCCTATACGAAAACATTACATGCGCACAAGATCACACAAAGTTAGGAACACTTAATACTAATGTCATTTGAATTCGAACATGTTTACTAGTGTTATGTACCATGTGAGATTATTTACTTATGTTTTCAAAACTAATTGTTTACAATTTTCAGACTATGATAAAACATGTTACTAAATTATAGCATTGGTGTACTCATTTGTATATTCATGCCTGTTTCTGACAATAAAACTGTAGAGTAATTGATATAAAGATGATGCTCCGATGAAAGATAATGTCAACGTTGGTGCTTGTGAGAGTGTTAACGCCCTCGGGGATGCAAAAGGAAATAAGGCTGCCGTGAAGGAAGAAGAGGCCCCATAGATGAAGGAAGAAGAGGCCCCATAGCCTAGTTTTTGTGAAATTGACCCGAAGACGTGTGATGTTGACTTCGACGCGGTTGCACTAGCCAAAAATGCCAAAGCCAGAGAAGCGGCTCAGATAGTTGCCCAAACAACGAGTGCCAGACACCGCCAGCTGGCTGCGATACAGAAGAGTCCGTTTTTAGGAAACAGCACCGCAAATGCCATCATTCCATCGTCGGCATCTCACTCCGGCCGTGTCCGTGGATATGATCCTTTTGATCAAACCGGTGTCAAGGCGAAGCATATCACTCTAATGAACTTTATCAAATCAAACCCGTAAGTAGACTTCTATACGTATGTAAGTAGACTTCCTCATAGTATTATTTCCTATCTAACTCTTTCACTTATACAGTGCCTATCCAAAACGCCCAAGACACTCTTCAATCGAGTGGTATTACATTTTCCGGACACCGACGAAATGGCTAGCTGATACGGTTAGTGTTTACTTTCTCATATTAGACTTCATGTTTAGAATTCATACGTAGACTTCTATAATAGACTTCGTTTTCAGAATTTAGACTTCGTTTGCAGACTTCACTCATGTCTTATTTTCACCAATGTGCAGCACATGGAAGCTTACATTAACCTACTCAGGCTGCGATTATCCAAGCATCCAGAGTGTTTTGTATCCGACCGGATTTGCTTCCTCAACTCCATGTTTGCTACTGTTTGGAGGCGTGACTACAAAGACTTCAAAAACTCTGAACCGAATGCACATGGGTCTGGCAAACTTCTACCGCCTGGAGCATATTCGTATTACACTGGCGAATTACCTATCTACTGCCAACCTAAGAAGACGTGGGCATACGATGTCGACTATTTGTACTTCATGTTGCACATTAGGGAGGACCATTGGGTAGTTATATGGGTCTCATTTGTGTCGAGGCATATCACGATATGGGATAGCCATGCGAGAACCAAATATGCATATGACGAACAAATTGCCGAAGCTGTGGAGCCTCTTGCGGTTATGATACCCTACCTTCTTCAGACCTGTGCACCTGACGATGACAAGTGGAAATTCCCCTACACGCCATTCACCCATTCGCGAGTACCAGGTACGGAGATACCTCAAAACATTCAGAGTGGTGATTGCGGAGTGTACTGCCTGAAGTATATCGAGTGTCATGCATTGGATTTGCCATTTCCTCCGGAACTTTGCGATAAAAACATTCGAAAAATCAGGGAGAAAATGGCTGCAGAGCTCTTTGACGAAACAGGTTGTAGGGGCCATGATAAGCTAGATGCAACCGGGCTGGATGTCTATGATAGGAAAGCTTAGTGTTTCCGTTCTTAAAACTAACTTTGATTTTTATGGCAACTTTTGGGCTACTTGCATAAATGACCTTCAATGTGATTGGAGGTCATTTTAGCAATTGGTAGATGATAGGTGTGGAAGTTTTTTGGCCACCTATCTTATAATTAACTTGCCAAATATGTTGTATTTTCGTTTAGGATATTGTACTCAAACTGAAGTCTACGACTGAAGTCTTTGACTGAAGTCTACTAATTTGTAATTGTAATTGTACTGAAGTGTACTAAGTCTATTAACATGTTAGTATTTCTAATTTTCAATTTCACCCTTACAACTGATTAAGTTCTGTAAAATATTATTGAACATGCGGAAAAGAGTATACGGAAAAGTGTATACGGAAAAAGTGTACACCGATAGTGTACACGGAAAAAGTTTTGTTAAAATAAGAATTATAAGTCTACAAACGAAGTCTACAAACGAAGTCTACCATAGTCATGTAAACATAAAGTAAACCCAAAAAAACATAAAACATGGAGTCAACTAATTTTACCGCGGCCATTCATTTGCAAATCCAGGAATTGTTTTCCAGAATATGGCACATTCCAACTTCCAGAAACAAGGACTGCAGAGTTTGTCACCATATGAGTCGACGAGGCTTTCATCATCCATCCAGTGCTGGTTTGGCAGATTCATACAAGCACAACTCCTTGATTGTGCCTTATCAAAAACATGGAAGACCGGTTCGTGAAATGCGTCAGGCTTCTTATAAGTGGTCGGACACCTGTTTATGTGCTGCATAGTCTTCCTCATCTTCGTTGCCTCTGCCGGAACTATACCACGAATGTGGTTAAATACATCATGGCTACCATCCATGGTTAAAGAGAACATAACCATGGAGTAAGCAGCCATTAAGCATCCTCCATTTAATGACACATTTATTAAGTCAAATCCTTCTTGGATGCTATCTTCATAGAAGATTAGAGAAACGGCTCGTAGGTATTGCGCTGTAGGATTTCTATACTCCAAACAGTGCCGAAAGAAAGCGTCAACCCTCCCATGTTGATCCCAGACCCATGGAATCGTCAGAGTTATTAGATCAACGGCTCTTAAAAAACCCTCTTCATTAGAAATGTCATTTAGATGTTTGGAGAAAACCCTTGCTTTGCAGAGCCCACGGTAGGAACGAGAAGTGATTTTTAAGAGGATATCCCACAGAATGTCGGAAGGGAGAGAGTTAAAGTTTATCTGGTTCAACATCTTCAAAGGGTCTGGAATGAGACTATAATTCGTCTAAACCCGAGAATTTATAAGCAGAAATACAGTACACAAACAGGTACAACGGTTATATGCACCGTTAAATTCGTTAAAGCAGTTACATATATGAAGTCGTTTCAAACATAACCGTAAACAAAATATCACATACACAGTAGACTTCGACAGTAGACTTCCCCAATAGACTTCCCTAGTTGACTTCCATAGCAGACTTCTTTGCTTTGTCTTCCTATTCTGGAGCCTTCTTGTTATTTTCCTGGTGAATCTTTGACGGCTAAGTATATTAATTAGTGCGTAACATATAATTAATATGCACTCTGCTTAACGCAATCAAGCTTGAAACTTGTCTATCATTGGTGACATGCATTGGAGGTGTATCTGGAGCCATAGTTTGCAATATTGATACTGGTAGCGCGTAGGTTAACTCGATGATCTCAGTCTTCTTGCCCAAGTTATAATCATCTCGCACCATCTCAGTAAGCTGCCCCAAGGTGCAACCATCGTTCAAAAACCACATTCTTCCACCTTTGCCCATGTCAACAACAAAATGCCATGAATTCTCCTCAATCTTCCACTCACCGTACACAACTGGAATTTGAGCCATTCTCTGAAAAAATAAGCATATAAACCATATTAGCAAACACTGCATAGAGACGTTTTGTATCAAGAGTAGACTTCACTACGAAGTCTACTTTGATAAGTTAAGTACCTTAAAAATCGAAACTTCTGATTCAACAATAAATATCCAATAAAACGAAATAAAATTCACTAGGTAGTTCAATCACTTACTAAAAAACAATTCTAAACCAAAAAAATTGAAAAATAATTTATAAATTTGCTTAAAATGCGTTTTTACAAAAACGTCAAAAAGTAGACTTCTAAAGCAGACTTCGCATGTAGACTGGAGGAGAAGTCTACTTTTATAAGCTAAGTACCTTAAAAATCTAAACTTCTGATTCAACAATAAATATCCAATGAAATGAGATAAAATTCACTGGGTAGTTCAATCACTTACTAAGAAGGAATTCTAAACCAAAAAATTTGAAAATAGTTTATACATTTGCTTAAAACGCGTTTTAAAAAAAACATAGGAAAGTAGACTTCTAAATCAGACTTCAAATGTAGACTGGAGGAGAAGTCTACTTTTTCATTGAAAAGTCTATTAATGAAGTCTACTAAAAAAATGTCATTTTTGTAATTGACCAATCTGTTGACTTTTCCTCCGGTAGACTTCAGGAGTAGACTTCAGTCAAAAAATGTTACTTTAGCATTTGACCGATGCATTGACTAACACATTAGACTTCTATTGTAGATTTCATGTAAGAGTAGACTTCTCTGACAGTCTACTTTTGAAGTCTACTTTTTAAATAGAAGTCTACGGAACAAAGTAGGTTATTTTTGCAATTGATTTTTTTTAGTAGACTTCACAATGAAGTCTACTCGAAAAAGGATTCCTTCTAAGTTTGACCGAACACCATAAGTAGACTTCAAAAAGAAGTCTACAAAATGTAGACTTCTTTGTGAAGTCTACTGAAGTTTTTTGGAATTTTTTTAATTTTTAATTTTTGAAAAACAGAAGTCAAACACTAAAATGACCTATACGTTTTTGGTCAAACCACAAAAGTAACTTAAAAGTAGACTTCGTATGTAGACGTAAACAGTAGACTTCATAACGAAGTCTACATCTAAAAGTCAAAATATGGTCAACTACAAAAATAACCTCTTTTCTTTTGTAGACTTCTAAAGCCTTCAAATGAAGTCTACTAAGTTTTTTTTCGTTATCAAAGGATATCGAGTAGACTTCTAGTGAGGTTTAATGAAATCTACTTTTTAAAACTCAATTGCAAAAATGACCTTATGTTGACTCATAGACTTCAGTATAGTTCACGAGAAGTCTACTTTCGCGATATAAAAACTGAAATGTGGAGAAATTGAAGTGCGAGGATTACCTTTAACAAAATTGAGCTCGCCTAAGTTTCTCTTATCCACCTAGAACTCAGGATTTCACCGAAATTAAACAACCCAGGTGTCGAGTAACCAGAATTCACCGAAAAAGCATGGCGCGAAACATTGTAACTTTGCCCAGATGTTTTGGAGAAGAAATTATGAAAGAATGAGCAAGGTTATGAGTGAATGAGCTTAGATATTTGTTTTATTACAGCTTTAAAATTGGTTGAGAAGCATTTATTCCATTTTCATGGTTGTTCATGGTGGTTGAAGAAATTGAAACGATGGCATTCTTGTAATTAAAAGGTCTTTAGAAGGTCTAAAAAGACTTTAGCCAATTAAAGAAAAATCGAAATAATAGATGAATAATGACATTTTCGTTAATAGTTTAAGTGGGAAGGATAAAAATGGGAGAAAATGGCAAAAGTTGGAGAGAGAAAAAAAAGAGGTTAGTTTGGTATTTGACTTTGAAATATGGGTTAAATCTGAAACTCTCCCATTAAACATTTGAAGTAATTTAACTTTTAATAAGATTTTAGATGATTCTTTTAATGATTTTTTGAAAGTTGTCATGATAATTTGGTTTAATATTCTCAGAAATTCCACATACAACCATGAGATTTGAGATTTTATAATTTTAACTATAAAACTCCTCCAAATTTTTTGAAATCATTAAAATATTAGTCCTTAAAAAACATTTTGAATAACAATAGTTCCATGAGACATTTACAAGTTTTATATCAAATACACTTGATTTTAGAATATTTTTACAAATTCATGTTTAAATCTTCATATATATGGAAGTAGGTGAACTCTCTCCATAATTTGTCATATCAGCAATTGAGAAGTTGACACATGTCATTTCATATAATTATCAAATTTTAAATTTTAAAATAAATAGCCCAAAATTAATTAATACTATTAATTTTAACATAATTTCTTTTTAATTTTTGTCTCATGTATTTATTTATATTCATAACTAATAAATTATATTAAAATTAAATCTTTCCACATTCTTAATAAAAATAAATAAACAACATTTCTAACAATTTGGTATTTTTCTAAGATATTTTTAAAAAATTAATTTAATATTTTTTTCCAACTTATCTTCATCATAACCACCTTTTTTTGCTTGTTCTATGAAAGAATATAAAGATGTATTGTTTTTTATTTTTCATTCAAAGATTTTGCAGTTGTTATGGGTCAAATATGGTATTATTATAGATGCATTTCATTGTGAAACATGGAATGGTTCCTGCAAAATCATGGTGATTGTGCGTGTCAAAAATATGAAAGCTGGTAATTATATGTTTTCAGAAAATCAACCAAAAAAATATAGCTTTTATCTATGTCTTTTTTACTTATATTATGTTTATGATTTCTAGAATAGTAGAATAATTTTCTTACTTACCCTACTTCCAATCCTAAAAAAAGTATTTGTTTGATAAAGATAAACAATCACTCAAACTATTATATTCTTATAATTAACTATACATCAACACAAACATATTTTTAAAAGTATTGTGAAACAAAACATGCGTGTATGCGCGAGTACAAGCATAATATATATGAAAAGAGGTGAACTCTTCTCATCCTTCTGCCATATCAGCAATATTAATGAATTTAGAGATGACATGTGATTACTTCCATTAAATTATTAGTTTTAAATATTTAAAAAATATGAAGAGTTTATTTATTTTTATATTAATATAACAAAATTAAATCATTTTCTTTATCTCTTATAAAAATATATATATATTTGGTTCAGATATATCGTAAGCTATGATATAAAAAATGAATGGATTCATTTTACCGAAAGTGAAAAACATAATTTGACAATGATAGTTGCAGAGGAATAAAACGCAACTTTGCAGGTTTTAAAGAGCTCTTGATAGATGACTTGGCAACATATTTTTAGGAGAAGAACGATAAATATAATTTGTTAGTGGTGACAACAGAAAATATAAAGAATACAAATAAACATTTGTGTGTGTTGCGGTGTTTTTTTTAATATACTTATGAATCAAATAAAAAAATGAAAAAATTAGAAATAAATATGAGAAAATAAGAGTATGTTTGATTAGTGTGACTTTATTTTTTATTTCATATAATTAAATATCAATGTGTGATATGATCTTACTCAAATCAAGATAGTATTATAAATTTTATAATAGAAAATACATAATTTTTATATTTACAAAATAATATATTATATAGAAAATATTTTATATCATATAAAATGAGATTGTTTTTTATGATGAAAACTCTGCGCGTATGCGCGGTATCAGTCTAGTAACATATGATTTGTCATATTAGTTCAATTCACTTCAAATGCTCAGTTCAATACACCTTACTCCCTTTTGTATTTTTAACGAAAAAAACTCCTCTAAATCTTTTGAATTCATTACTCAGTTCAGTACATCAACTTGTTGACTCTCTTTGATATTTAGTTAACTATGGTTTAAATTTTAATAAATGCATAATTTCACTCTTGAATATATGTATGTATGATACAAAAAAGGTTGCAAAGTTACTTAAAAGTTTTGTTTGAAATTGCGCTAAGCGCTAATCGGGCTTAAAACAAAAGAGAGATGGGAAATAAATTATAGGAATGGGAGAATACTTTTAAGTTTGCAAATGTTTTAAATTAATCTGACTCACGGTCACGGAGGGTTCTTGATGTCACCAATACAGGCTTGAAAATATATTATTTTAGCCGTGGCGTGGTGATACGTACTGGTTTGCTACAAACAAGTATTAGGAAACACCCGAAAAAGGAGACGACCCGTTTTTCTTGGTCTGTTTTGATTTCACAAGAGAGAGTTTTGGATATCGTTTGCCTCTGCCTCTTGAGTGGTGTCTTGAAGATACTGTGAGTCTATCTAGTGTTAGAGAATAGCAGCTTGCCATACAAAAGTTACAAACAACTTGTGTGCTCTTATGTTCCAAGTTTACGCCAACTTAATTAGTCTATTGTGCAGTATAATCTATTTTCTTGTTTGTCTTCTCTTTTGCCATGTTCTTTGAACAATATTTTTTATACATTAAATATGGTTCTGTTTGAGTAGGTAGGTTCATGGCAAAGTTTCTGTTTTTTTTTTTCCATTTCATTTGTTAATTTCCTTGGTCTATAGAGAACAGAGCATTTGTATAAAGGCATTTGCAAATATAATAGTACAGTCACTATCTTGCAGGTAAACTCTGATTAAATAGTAACACAACTATGGTTTAAATTATATTAATGAAAATTAACAGAAAGACAAGTCTTTAATTAATGAAAAAAAAAACCCAGACCCTTCGTCTCTCTCCTTTCGTCATCTCCTTTTCCTTGCAGCTTAGATTCAACTGATAGCGTACATTCTTTCAACTTTCATGTTAATCTAAAACAAAATGAAAAAAAATTCCAGTTCTTGTTCTTTTAGGAAAACAAATCTCTCAATCCTTTTTTTTTCAAGATAAAAAATAATCTCTTAGTTCTTGTTTAAAGTCTTTGTTCTTAATCCTTGTTTCTTGGAGAACAATAAACAACAACTTAGGAAGACGAGGAACCATCAGTTTCTTCTGAGATTGTTTTTTTCTCTGGAATTTCGCTTTGTTAATGTCTTCTTCTTCTTCTTCGGTGTCTTGCAATTGGCGCTATGACGTCTTCCCGAGCTTCAGAGGTGAAGATATCCGCAAAACATTCGTTAGCCACTTTCTAACGGAGCTGGATCGTAAATTTATCAGTGCTTTCAAAGACAACAAGATCAAGAAAGGTCAAACGCTCGATCCCGTGCTTAAAGAGGCGATTAAAGATTCGAGGATCGCCATCGTCATCTTCACTGAAAACTACGCATCTTCTGCCTGGTGCCTAAACGAGATGCTGAAGATAGTGAAATGCAAGAAAAAGTTGGGTCAACTTGTGATACCGGTTTTCTACCGTTTAGATCCTTCTCATGTAAGAAAACAGTCCGGAGACTTTGGAAAAATCTTTGAAGAGACATGCAGATGCAACGACAAAACAGAGGATGAGATAAAGTTATGGAGGACAGCGTTGACCGATGTAGCAAATCAGGTCGGATTTGATTCTCGGAATTGGTATGACTTTGCTGAACCTTTTTCTTTTGAAATAGAGTTTTTGGGCCAAAATCTGTAATCCTCACAAGTCCGAAACCACAACATGTTATATTCTTTTTGAACATACTGTATGTTTTACTAGTTGAGATTTGACTATTCTCATACTTTGTTGTTTCTCTCTTATTGTTAGGGAAAATGATGCAAAACTGGTTGAAGATATGGTCAGTAATATTTTGGAGAAACTAACAACTCCATCTAAGGATTTTGAGAACATTGTTGGAATCGAAGATCATTTTGTAAAGATGAGTGCATTGTTGGACTTGAAATCTGAAGGAGTGAAGACGGTTGGGATTTGGGGTCCCTCAGGGATTGGCAAGACTACCATTGCAAGAGCTCTATATAATCGACTCTCTCATCAGTTCCAAGGTAGGATTTTCATAGACATGCGTTTCATATCCGAGAGTATCAAAGATTACAGCAAAGGCAACCCGAGAGACTACAACATGAAGTTGCACTTGCAAGAAAATTTCCTATCTAAAATATTAGACAAAGAGGGCATGACGGCTCAACACTTGGGTACCGTGGGAGACAAGCTAAAGCACCAAAGAGTTCTTATCTTTATCGATGATTTGGATGATCAAGTTGTGTTAGATGCCCTGGCAGGTGCAGATGAATGGTTTGGTCCTGGGAGCAGAATCATTGCGATTTCAAAAGATAAGCATATTCTAAGAGCCCATGGGATTACATGTATCTATGAGGTTGGTCTCCCATCTGAAAAAGTAGCTCTTCAGATGTTTTGTCAATCTGCTTTCAAGCAAAACTCTCCGCCTGATCGTTTCTTGGAGCTCGCTTCCAAAGTTGCTGTGAAAGCAGGTCGTCTTCCTTTGGGTCTTCACGTTCTTGGCGCGTCTTTGCGTGGGAGAGACGATAAGTCTATGGTGGATATTATGTCAAGTAGCCTGAAAGGTCTAGACACGAGTATTAAGAAAACACTAAGCATCAGCTACGAAGGATTAGAAAGAAAAGAATACAAAGCAATGTTTCGTCACATCGCATGCTTCTTTAACGGCTATGAAATCAATTCCATCAAGTTGATGCTTTCAGATAGTGAGTTGAATGTTGATGCTTGTCTCGAAATTCTAGTTGATAAGTCCCTCATACGCGTATTATCATCTGCGGGGAATAATACGAATATCGTGGAGATGCACTGTCTGGTTCAAGAAATGGGTAAAGAAATTGTTCGTGCACAGTCCGACAACCCTGGAAATCGGGAATATCTAATGGATTCAAAGGACATTTGCGATGTACTTCGAGGCTGCACCGTAAGATTTCTCTTACTCTTTCCATAACTAGATCTGCCTATGAGTTTGAATGGTGCTCTCTTTTTAATACACAATATGATTCTTGCATATTTTTTTCAGGGTACTGAAAAGGTTATAGGTATATCATTGGATTTATGCGAAGTTGACAAGGTGCGGATAGATGACAAAGCTTTTAAACGGATGTTTAATCTCCGTTTCCTAAATTTCTATAAAAAAACGTTGGAGTGGACGAAAGAAGTTAAATGGCAATTACCAAAAAGATTCAAATATTTTCCAGACGAACTCAAACTACTTAGTTGGCCGGGATTTCCAATGGAATCCATGCCTAGTGATTTTTGTCCTGAGTATCTCGTGGAACTTAGATTGCCCAACAGCAAGCTTAAGAAGCTATGGAAAGGAGTCAAGGTAAGTTTCGATAGATTAATTATCAGAATGTATAGTTAACTCAAGTAATTAGAAAATTGATAGTACTTGATAGAAATTGATCATTGGTATTGGTCTCTATGCATATAATCTCTATATTCATATATATATATATATATATATATATCATAATCTAATACCAAAGTCCAATCGTTAAACCAAAATCAATCACATCTTATTTGGACTAAACCGAAATGATAATCTTTAATCCATGAATTCCACATTTAATTTGTTCACATATCTCCAACAATATTTCGATCTAAAACATTGAATATTACTAGTAACTCAACTAATAAGTGTTGCTAGCTATTATTACTACTAGTATGGTTTTTTATGACAATCATTTCAATTGATGTGTGAATTTCTCTATATACTTATTTTGGTTCAGACGCTTACATGCCTCAAGGATATGGATTTGTCGGAATCTAAACACCTGGAAAAGATACCAGATCTTTCGACCGCAACCAATCTTGAGACATTGAATCTTCACGGTTGTTCAAGTTTGGTGGAGCTTCCTTCCTCTATTCAGAATCTCAATAAACTGACGGATTTGAACATGGCTGGATGCACAAAACTGGAGTCTTTTCCAAATGCCAACCTGGAATCTCTCATTCACCTCGTTCTCACTGGATGCTCACAGTTGAAGGTTTTCCCTGATATCTCAAGTAAAGTCGAGTCTATCATTGCAAACAAGACCTCTTTCGAAATATTCCCTTCTCCATTGCGTCTTGAGAATCTCATTGAACTTCGCATGGAGCAAATCTTGAGCGAGAGGTTGTGGGATGGAGTTCAGGTATGACACTGATCAATTACTAGTTTTTAAAAACATATCAAAACGTCGTATCAATTTTCTTTTTTTTGGGGGGTCAAAATCAAGTCATATATATTTCAAAGACTAGAAACTTGTATAAAGCTAAACTCCATCACCTTGGTTCTTTTTCATTTATTTTTCAGCCTCTTACAAGCCTCAGGAAAATACTGTTGTCGGGATCTGAAAACTTGAAAGAAATCCCGGATCTTTCAATGGCAAAGAGTCTCAAGACACTAAATCTCAATGGTTGCTCGAGTTTGGTGGAGATAACGCTTTCTTCGTTTCAAAATCTCAATAAACTCACGGATTTGAACATGGCTGGATGCACAAAGTTGGAGTCTCTTCCAAGCGGTATCAACCTCGAATCTTTGTATCGCCTCAATCTCAACGGATGCTCCAAGTTGAAGAGTTTTCCAGATATCTCAAGCAACATCTCAACACTCTACCTAAACCAAACAGCAATCGAAGAAGTTCCTCAAAGGATCGAAAACTACTTAAGCCTCGAATCCCTGGAAATGTGGGAATGCAAAGAGCTAAAATGCATCTCATCAAGAATCTTCGAGCTTGAAAATCTTGTGGAGGTTTTCTTCTCAGATTGTGAGCAACTGGATGAAGTTACATGGCCTCAGAAAGCACAAGACACCAATAATACTACTGGCTCTAACTTGTCATTGATCAGTTTCACCAATTGCTTCAACTCAAATCAAGAAGCCTTCATCCAAAATTCAGCTTCAAATTATCTCATCTTACCAGGTGAAGTGCCTCCATATTTCACTCACCGATCGAGCAGTAGCTCCATCACCTTCCCTCTGCATCCTTCTTATCTCTCTCAACAGTCTTTCTTGGAGTTCAAGGCTTGTGTCGTTTTTTCTGATCTTGTCATTTCTGATGGATCAGAGACGCTTGGCTTTATAGACATTGAGGTACAGTGTCGGTTTAGAGACAAGAACGGGAACTACTTTGAGCTTGCTAAACCAAGAGAATTGTCCTTGCATCTGAAATATAATCATCAGCTTATATTTGATTGTCATTTCCCTCTAAGCCAAGAGTGTGATCAAGTTGAGATAAACTTTAATCTGCCTAGTAATAGAGTCAAACTGAAAGAATGTGGTCTGCGACTCTCAGATGACTATACTCAGATTGAAGTCGATGGCTAAAAAAGGGCCAAAACTCTCGAGACAGCCACCGCTTTGAGGAGCCTCTCTGGTGAAGAAAATAAAGATTGTCAATTCTCTGTTTTTTTTTTTAACCTAATTGTGTCAATTCTATGTTGTATCCAAAGTTGAGTATAATCTATTTTGGGAAAGCCTTCATCCAATATTATCTTCCAGACGATTTGGGTTGTTTTTACTTTCACTTTTTTTGGATTCAAAGGTGTCTTCTCCATCTTACTTCAACCTCTATGGCTCTATGCAACTCCTTTGATATAATCCACAACAAACCAACACTTTAATAAAATTACAAAAAAAAGAACAAAAACACTCTAGAACATCTAGAGTGCAACAAGACTAATTAAATGTGACAAAAACACAACGAAAAGCAAGATAGAACACAAAGAAAATGATGAAAATATGAAACTCAATTTATGGTAAAATCCACGATCAAATAGATTTCAAACGTATTTTCAAAAGGGAAATGAGTCACAACTCACAAGTGGGACATATACCACATTTTTAACCTTTTTAATTGTTGTAATAGCGGATTCCAAAGTAAATAATCTACAATATTCTGTTTTAATAATCTCTATTTGTTATTAAGAAATAAGATTCATACAGCACAAATTATGTAGATCTGCAATATATTCATCTCTTAAATTTAAGATTTTGTTTTATGTTTCATATACATAAGAGATATCATAAATGAAAAGTATTATGCATTGCATAAGACGAATATTAATCTACACAGAAGACGAATTCTAATTCTAAACTACGCAGAACAAAACAAAAAAAAATATTAATGTAAGACAAAACATATTCTAAATTTCTAACTGGTGTAGGCCATATATAAAAAAGCAGAATGTGAATTCTAACTTCGTAAAACATTTAAGTAAGGCGGAAGAGACGGAAGACCTATTATACATTTCATAAAGCATAAACCAAAATATTTTTTCAGTAACATTTTATAAAAAAAACGTGAATCAATTGTTTTTCATTTACATCATTCCATTTTCTGTTTGGATTACCATCAAAAATATGTATTTACAATAGATTAGATATTTACAATATTTAATTGAGCACAGTTGAATCATTGATATAACTTAAAAGTAAGTTAAATATCGAAATGTTTTCTACAAAGATATGGTAAAATATCATTTTTGAAATGAAATTTTTTTATCTTGGTCATAAATTCAAAACGAAATGAGATATTATAGCTTCCAAATTACAACGAATATCAGATATTTAAATCTAAATCCAGAGTGTTCTATCATGATATCCAAATTGTTATATTATAAGAATTTAAATATATCTATCAAGCCACTACTCTTATAAATATTGGAAATTTTGCTACTATTGAAAATATTGGATAGTTTACTAATCCACATCACACAAACGGAGTAATAGGTTAGAAAAAAAAATAGATAGGTTTCAACGACCCTAGAAAAAGATAAGTTATAAGTAATAACGCAAAGGTGGGAATAAAATATTTTTTTTATAAGTTACAACTACAAGTTAGGAATCTCTAAACTTAAGTTATCCTAAAAAAATAAATTTTATTTTATAAGTTATTACATAAAATATTGTTATAAATAAGAAAAAATAATATAATTATCTTTCAAATTTTTAAAAATATATATATAAAAAGTCTTTATTATTTTATTTTAATTTTTATCATATTTTAGTATTATAATATTTTAAATAATAATCAATATATATGTGTATATATATATTCAATAAAAATATATTCAAAATTTGCAATACTTTTTATTATAATCTGTATTATTGTATTTGAATATATATCAAAGCAAAAGTTAAAAAATATTAAATTTAAGGTTGTAAAAACAAAATAAAAATTAAGTATGTTTTTAGTATCATGCGAAATAGGTTAAATAAATAATTTGGTCTGGTTTAACAACTCTATTTAGAATAATTAGTTAAATATATTATAATATTTATAAATATCCAAACTAATGCTAAAAAATTACTCCACCAGTAGGTTCAATCCTAGTAAAATACTATTTTGTTTGAAGACAGCGAGGTCAAGTGGTCAACTAGGCATTATCACAAACTCTCCGTACTGATTTGAGGTTTAAATTTTGTTACTCCTAAGAATATCAAAAAATGAACAATAGGGTTGGACGAAATATCATTTAAAGTCAATTGAATCTGTTTTTGTTTTAATTCAAATTAAGAATTCTGATAACTGTAATTTTATAGAGCAAGAAAAATATTAAAATTAAGTATGTTAAAAACGAACTAAATTATAAATATTAAATTTTAAAAGTCCATTCTGATATATATATATATGTATATATATATATATACATATATGTTTATACATTTATTTATACAGATAATTAACATATATATAATCATTCTATCTATATAAACTATAAATTTTCAAAAAAATATGTAAATATATTGTCTCAATAATATCATATACACATGCCGGAAAGAAAATAATAAAACAATTTACTAATAGATGATTTCAAAACGAAATTTACCTCTAATTTATCTTATTAATTCAATTTGTTTGTGTTATATAATTGAATTATATCTAAAAATTTACATTCACACTGTAGAATAGTATGCTCGATAAACAAAACAGAACCGCATAACCCAAAAAAATCTTGTCTTAGTAAAGACAGAAAAAATAAAACAAATCCGTTTAGTTTAATCAAGATATAAAATGAAAGAAATTATTTTTCACGTTAGATAAAAATATATGTTAAAAATAATATATCTCAAATATAATTTTTAAATTAATATAGTATCATAGTTCCAAGTACTTCCAACAGTATTGATTTATATAGTTTTTACTATATAAAAATAGATGGAAACAAATAATTGAACAACGCATCACATCGAACGGATTAATAGGGGTTAAGATAATAGAAAGGTTACAAACTTACAACTACAAGTTAGGGATAAAAATACTATTTTGTATAATAAATAATAAAAATGTACTACTCTTTTGATCATGAGAGAGTATCATTTGACTATAACATCCCATCAATCTTTCTCCGGTCGATCAAATCAGTTACCAATAAAAAGGTCATATAGAAGAAATTGAACATAGAGCCGAAGAGAAAGAGAGAGAGAGAGAGAGAGAGAGAGAGAGAGAGAGAGAGAGAGAGAGAGAGAGAGAGAGAGAGATCTGAGAGAAAGAAAGATCGATTGCCAATGGCAAATAAGCCACTGAAGATAGTTGCAGACGCTTTAAGGAACTGGAGTCCATCGTGAATTCACCGAGTCCTGGTGTGCCTCTAAAGCAGTTCTCTGATGCTTGTTCTCACTTCTCGAACCTGTTTGGCGTCCTTGAAATAGCCTTCAAGTATGTCAAGATAAACTTCGTTCGTCAGGTATGTTAGTTTGGTTGAGGAGAGTAGTGAATTGATTTATGAATACTATACATACAGGAGACTGATATTATGGACTTTGTTTTTCTTTTTTCGATTTAGTTAATTATGTTCCTAATATAAAGACTCTTATTGAGAGATGTTGAGAGGTTAAACGAATTGGTAGTGGACTGGTGGTATCTTGAATAGTTGAATAGTTTAATAGTGTTGCTCTTTAGGTTTAGATTAGGCACTGATTCCTTTTATTGTTTGTGGCTTTTTTATTGTAATATTTGTGAATGTATTACGCCTATATTTTTGGGAGGTATACAATATGAACTGAAACTGAATCGTGAGTCAAGATTGAGATTCGACTTTCGAAAGATCATACATATTTGTCAATATCTCAATTTAAGAAACCTATATATATATATATATCTATATATATACATATGTATAGTGTTACTATTGGTATCTATTTTAATATAGAAAATTTAGGATATATATAGTTAGTTATACATACATAAGTGAATGTTTCTTGTAATATTTTTCTTATGAGTCTATAATGCAATCTTTTCATAACATGTTTGTGTTCCTTCTCTCAGCGAATTTATATATACACTAATGAAGATTTATTTGATATTTCTTTTCATTGGAAATCATTCATCGTGTATTACTCATGTAAATGACCATATATACATGTATTGATGTATACAATTGTATAGTGCTCTGTCGTACAAATAGCGCTAGCTAATGTATTTTAAAACTTTGGATTTGGGTTTATTTTTCTTGACGAGAGTCAAAACAAAATTTCTCAGGTTGATGAATTTGCCAAAGCATCGAGCACAACATCCACATTACAAGCAATGGTTGAAAAAGATATTGAGGCAGGCCAAGCAAAGAAATATGAGAGTCTTACAAGAAAACTTTTGAGGCTTAAACGTGCTCTTGAAATGGCCAGGGTTCTATTTGAAGAGATAATAGCAACCCAGTAAGTGCTCTTCTAAACTCTTTTGCAAACTGTTGAGTGGAATTATGCGTTGGCAATAACGCATATGTTATGGAGGTTCGAAAAAAACGCATCTTATGAGTTTCCGATCAAAATTGTTTTGAGGTTCTTAAATTTATGGTGGGTTAAAATGCTTTTGAACAGACCTGATAGCTCCCTAAAGGATGCAGTGTTTAAGGCTTACAGTCAAGTGTTAGCTCCCCACCATGGGCATGCTCTTCAGGAATCTGCTAGTTCAGGATTTGTCTTTCTCCCCTCAAGGGCTGAGCTACTGCTCATGATCAATGAAACTGGTGAGTCAATGAATTCTCTTAGAATAGGAATCACGTACACATTGAAAACAAAAATAAGACGTATAGTATATAATATTGAACAACTATATCACTTGGTTTTGAAACGGCAATGAACCTTAACTTGGTATTCTGCTGATCTAAAAATGTGATTTGATTCGAGTAGGGTTAAAAGATGCATCATCTTAAGAAATATAGTGTTAAGAATATCACATCATATTGCACATAAAAAAAAAAACAAATATGACATCATATATAAAATAAAATTATGTCAAAAAAAAAAAATCTTCAAACTTCAAAGTGTTAGAAACTCATTCCTTGAAACTAAAAAAAAGGTTTGAACTTTTTTCACTATTGTCAATTAATTTTAAATTCAAAGTCCATGAGAATTAATATAACAATATAGTTTGTCACTTTTCTTTTAAAACATTGTACCCTCCTATTTTTACCGTCAATATCCTCCATCCTCCAAGTTCAGTCAGGGAAAAATGCCATATTATTTTATGTCCGTTTTTAGGCCTCTAGTAACTCCATGCCAGCATAAAAATGCCATAATTGGTACATCCCAAAATTTCCCTATCCCCAGTAAGCCCCACTAAATTAGTCTAGTGACTAAAAGTGGTCGGCGGGTTTTCGTGTTGTTATTTGTTGGGAAAAATATTCAGTTGTCTTCAATACGTTTTTGAGGCTGCAAGTCGCGCACTATACATTTTAACGATATTCTTATTTATTTATGACTTTTTTTACAGAGGAGACAGCTAAGGTACACATGCAAAGCTATGTTACTGCATCGAAATCAGTAACTGAGTATCTTGATAAATTCTATCAGTCCAAGAACCTTGATATCGATTTCCCTTAAAATTTCCCCTCTTGTTATCACGCTTTGACGGTCTCTGTTTCTATCAATCCATGCATGTAATAAATATTACAGCCAAAAACTGGATTATTTCATGTATTATTTCGGTTACGTCCGAGAAAACAATTAAATAAATGTCAAAGCATTTTTTTAGGTGTGCGTTGGGTACTTTTTTCTGAATTAAGTTCCTAATTAATTTTACAGGTGCATCTGCATCTTATCCTTAATTAGTTTGAGTTTTGAAATCAATAGCATTCCTCGTTATTACTTATTAGCCATTGTTTTTAGCACTGTCTAAACTACAGTTGTAAAACCGTCACTAATAAAATTAATTTTTTTTTAATTAAAATTAAATTTTGTCATCATATATATGATCTGATTCGTAAGATGATGAACCATTTTGACTAGGTATTGGCTCGATGTACCACAGCGTTCCCTAAAAATATAAATTGTTTCTTATGGTATCTAGAATTTATGATATTACGTACGTACTATCTTTTGCGAGCTTTACCTAAACCCTTGTAATATAAAAATACCTCTCATAGTATCAATGAGCATGCAAGCTGTTCTCCTAAACTTAAGCAGTTATTCTTTTTCGTCTTTACCAATATCTGACTAAGAATACACCTCCACATTTACGATGATTCCAACATGCTAAATTGCTAATGTTGATGCTAATGTCAATGACTTCCATGGTTATGTCCATTAGCAACAAGTCTCGAAACACTCAATCTCAATGCATGGTTGCTCAAGCTTGATGAGCTAACAATTTCTTCGATTCAGAATCCCAATAATCTGACGACCTTGGAAATGATAGGATGCTGCATGTCAATAATCTTCCAGCTTGGCATCAATCTGAATTATCTATATCGCCTCAATCTCAATGGACTCAGACTAATAGAATGCGGTTTAAAATGCCGATGAGTGTACACCAGAACTCATCTGGTACTCTGAATATTCTCTGTGAATGTAAAAAGTAAAAACTTGTTTATTGGTGGAATATCAATGGAAAACTAATCGTATGATGTTTTTTTTTTTTGTAAAATGTATTTTCATAACCCGGACCTACTGTTAGCTTTTTCATAATTCATGTTTGCGAATAAGTAAGATGGTCTTACTAGTTACTACCAAGTTCAATATGCTCGAAAAACGAAAAACGTATCGCATGATATTAGTCTTAGGACAACTCAAGAATATATTAAATTGCTCAGCAAGGTACCATCGTCATTGGTTTCCTCTATAAACTTCGACTAAGAGGTACTTTTAACTCTGGAACCTATTAAATATGCATATAGTTACGTCTTCCACACACCACACATATTTTTTTATATTTTTTAAACAAAAAAAGCTAAGAAATCTTGAAACTTTATACGGATGCTTATGAATTGAATATTTATGTGTATCTGTGATACAAAGTTGCTTAAAATAAAAGAAAGATGGGAAAGAAATACTGTAAAATGAATCAAAGAATATTTAAGTTTGCAAATGTTTTAAATTAACTGATTCGTATCATTTTTTAAAAAAAAAAATATTGAAGTGTGCCCTCTGAGTGAAGCAAACTATGATTCTTTGTAAGAAAATCAACAGAAATCACCTTTACAACCTGCAAGAACAAGAATTAAATCGCCTTTAAGAATAAAGAAAAACCAAACAGCCTTAACCAAGAAAAGCACCATCAACTTAAACTTTCTTAAACCTATATAACATCCCACAACCAAAATTATAAAGATCCAAATTAAAAACATATATATATACCTGTATATATATATTTCTGTAATTTTTTTCTGGTTTCCAGTGACCGGGAAAGAAATGGCGGCACAGCAGATGAAACCGGTGGCCTCTTTGCTTCTAGTCCTGAATTTCTGCATGTACGCTATTGTTCTCGGGATTGGAGCATGGTCCATGAACAAAGCCATCAGCCATGGATTCCTTATTGGTATATATGATTGTTTTAGTTTCCTTTTTTATGCCTTATTGGTGTAAGTTCTTGGTCGATTTAGTCTAGAAATTATAATTATAGTTCCTTTCATCATTATAGTGTCGGACTATAAAACTGGAAAAAGTTATGCATGCAAGCAATTTTTAAACTACTAAAACTGCATGATACAAAGGATGTGTGCTTTATATATGAAGCAAAATTAAGGTTCAACTTAATGCCATACTATATGATATTTCATTAGAGATTGCCTTTTATTATAGCATGAAAATCTATAGATTAAAGCAATTAATGTAGTTTTAAAAAAAAGTTTAATGTATTTTTTTTGGTATTACTGTATAGTATTTTTGAAAAGAGATTATTATATGTCTATACTACTAATTTGCTAGATAAATGGTTAATCATGATTCCTGGTTCTAACTGATTAATCGCCTGTCTAAAGTGATTGTTTTAGATAAATCAGTGTTTATCTAGTTTCCATAAAGTATTTATAAATTTTTAATTTTTCCAAAAAAACTCAAGGTGCGGATTATAGTCTTCCGGCTCATTTCTCGCCAATATATTTTCCGATGGGAAATGCGGCTACTGGATTCTTCGTGATGTTCGCTTTGATTGCCGGAGTTGCTGGAGCTGCCTCGGTTATAGCTGGCGCCAGTCATCTACAGTCATGGACTACGGCAAGTCTTCCGGCAGCTGTCTCTGCAGCTACCATTGCTTGGTCGCTCACACTTTTAGCCATGGGGTAAGACAACAAAACAAAATGTGTGATTTATTAAAATTCAACAATTTTTATATCATTCTATAGATTATAACAAAATTTACATAATTCATTGTTCTTGTCCAGATTTGGGTGCAAGGAAATTGAACTTGGAATGAGAAATGCTCGTCTGGTGAGTATTATCACAAATTGTCCTTCGATTAGATTCATTGATATAAAATTTGTCTATATCTATATATGCATACAAGTACATAAGTGAGTAACATGAGATGTAAAATCTTACAAAAGAAAGGTTGTATTTTGAATTTGGTTGTCAATTAATGTATAGAGGATATGGTATTAGTAATTTAACTCACTCAAAAAAAATATAATTTAATTTAATTTCTTTGTCAGAGAACAATAGAGGCATTTCTAATAATACTTTCGGCAACTCAGCTTCTCTATATTGCTGCCATATATGGAGTCAGGAAATAAACTGAAGAAACTAATTAAGCGACACTGTTCTATTTTCTATTTGTTCTGTAATTTTTTCTTCTTTTACCAATTTGTTTATATACAATATGTGTGGTTTGGATTGTCTGATTGAACATTTGTACTATACATTTCTCTTATTTTTATGTATATATGATATTCAGCTTTTTCTAAATAGCTTTTGGGCCAACTTCTTAAAGAAACAAAATTTGAAATTCCAAAATACAAATAAATAAAGCGGAAATAGGAAGAATGAAACAAATGGCAATAACTACTTAAGAGGGTTAATTGGTTGAGATGTGCTTGTAATATATTTATATATTATATTATTTTACTACAGTGTAAATATTTTGATTGTAAAGTGTTATGTAAACTGTAAAGCCATATATTATTTGGAAGAACAAGAAAATTAGGTTTCACAAGAAGAGAAAAGTGAACACTCAAAACAAAATAAGCCAATCATCAAAGCATTATAAGTGAAATGATGTCTTTTGCAATAAACTCAAAAAACGCAAGACACAATCATCAAACGAATATGTATAACACCCACAATCACACTGAAGATTTCACCACATTCAAGATCTGTCTCGTCGTATGCTAATTCATCAAACGGTGACAGCAATGACATGCTCAAATATATATCCCCTAGGGATTGGATGTGGAAGCACAGCATCATGCCACTCGACATTCCCCCAAATCTCTTCACTATTATTGCGTCTTTCAAGTGAAATCATCGCACACCAAATCCTCCTATTCTGATAGCCACCACCACCACCAGAAGCCACAAAATTGTCCCAAAAAAGTGCCATCTTTCCACCATAATCAACCAACCTAACATTGGCATGACGAGCAAACTTAGGCAGTCGTTTCATACCTTTCACAGTTCTCACTTCTCAAGGATCTTACCTTAGTGTCATACCATTTAAACCCTTCTTCGTAATAATAATAGTAAAGTACGTTCTCTATCACAAAAGAAGAGGACCATCTCCATCCGCTGAAACTAGTCCATTCACCATCCTTGAGGTTGTAAGCCACATTATCCCCAAAAATGTATTGCTTTGCATTAACCACTACGATACTAGTTTTTTGATCAGGAAAGATATCTATCACCACCCTACCTTCACGGCTCAACACAGGCTCCCAAATTTTGGTTTTTTGATCATAAACCTCCATAAAGTTTGACGAGTCACAGCCTCCTGTTACGTATATCTTTCCATCAAGGAAATTTGCTGATGGATGATCCCGCTTCACCCGCATGCTTGGAGCTTCGAGCCACGTGTGAGACCAGCAGTCTAGGATTGAGACACTAGATGAGGGAGAGCCATTGATGGATCCGCCAACCTTGTAGATATTAGAACCAACAGCCACTAGACCCGACCCGTGCGCAGGAGGAGAATGGGGAATTGGGATTGTAGCCAAAACATACCCACTTGACTTCTCCTTCTTCTTCTTCCTAGTTTCATTGGTATTAGGTCTTCGACAAAGCATGAACCAACGAGGTTTAGGGTCAGTAGTAGAGAACCGTAAACACACATAGAGACAATTATCTTTACGGCCTAAAAGTGACCGGGTCTGGTAAAGCTCCGGTGAAGTAAGGTGCGAGCGGAAGCTTTTGGAGACTAAGGAGAGAGTTGGGTAATACAATATCGAGACACGGGCTAAGATGCTCACTACCAAATCATCTGGAAGTGAAAGATTCAAGGTTTGGCTCTATTAGCAGCTTATTCTTCTTCAGTGGTGGCTCTTCATCGTTCATGGCACTGGCTGTGGGATACATTAGCAAAACTTTGCTACGTGCGGAGAAGAGTTCTCGAAAAAATATTAGGGTTTTCGGTGGCTCAAACGTTTAGACTTTTGTGGGTGTAACCCATATTTGGGTTTTTAAAATTTGTTTAATAATTTTTTTTGGAGTTAGGAATAGTTAAGAGATTGTAGTGTTTTTCTCCCTCCATTAGTGTTTTTGAAGATTCGCTTCTCTCCTTTCTCTTTGGTTTCTGAAGCTTCTTCTTCCTCTTTCCTTGATTATACAGAGAAGAGAAAACCATTTTAATCCCTTTCGCCGCATTGCTCTTTCTTCGCAGAAGAGTCCTCTGTTTCCTCGGTGGAGTGGCGGTTATAATCGGAGGCGGTGGAGGTGGAGGACGACGACAAAGACTGTGACGACGAAGACAATCCCTCGTCGTTTTGTCCGGCAAGTACGCCGCATAGAATCGCGAAACTACTAAAACGACGTTGATGGAATCCTATCCTCTCTTCACCGAAGCTGGCTGAAGAATCTGAGATGTGATCGAGAGAAACGGAGGAGGTAAGACGAAGGTCATAATCTTAAAAAAACATAGCCGCTGAAATCACTCCAATCATCGCCGGACCTAATATTGTTGAAATCGATGATCGCCGGCAAGTATATCCAGTAGATTTAAATTGCGGCCAGATCAGTGGATTCATCAGAGGAATCTCTGATTTCTTTTCCGTCGACAACAACGAGGAGGAATTGATTTTTTCTAAAAAAATATTATGAATTTAATGATTAAAAATTAAAAACAAAAGTAACCAATCACCTACCTCCACCTAGCAGTAAGAGACAGTCTCTTCTGTCTCTAAAGGAGCGATCCGTCGTACAGTTGGGTTTTAAATATTATTTTTATTCGATTTACTTACGAAACTGTGCCACAAAATGGATTATGTTACCTTGATGGAGGTGTTCTAAGACCATGTACATAAGAAATCCAAAAAATGATTCTTAACAATATTTTATTAATTTTTTGTGTGTTAAGAAAAATTAACAAATTCTTATAACCAGGTAAGAGTTTTTTATGGGTTTTTTACAGGAATCATCATCAACATCATTAAGCATCATCATCCTCTCACCATCCTCCAAAATTATCTACAGGAATCATCATCATCATCATTAAGCATCATCATCCTTTCACCATCCTCCAAAATTATCGATTACACAAAAAATTCCCAATTTTATCTTCAAACCCAAACCTTAATTTCAAAAAGATGAATAATAAACCGTAAATACAGACAAACATTGACGAATCTATGCCGGAATCTTCGTTACACATCCGATCACATCTTCGCTAAACGCCGATTTCGTTCAGGAGCCTCGTCGCCGTCGTCGTGATGAGAAAACGTCGATGTGGACGAGGAAGAGAAAGAAATTTTACTGCCCAAAATTTTTTTTTCCCATACACATCTCTTCTACAAGCCAATAATATCATCACACGTGGCTTATGAAACTTTCTATGGATCGGTTCATAAATTCCTTATGCAAGGACCAATCCATAGAAAATTGGCCTTTTTTGATTTATTTAAAATCCAAAAATTGGTTTAGAAATCCTTAACAAACCCTTATAAAACTTCAATGGACATGCTCTAAACATCAGTTTAATGAACCCGTTACGTTTTGAGTTTTATGGTTTGTTTTTTATATATTTATTTTGTATTTAGTGTTTTATACTTTTATTGAATTGTAGTACCGTATAATAAAGAGGCAAGACGACTGACAAGTAGCACATAGTTGAAAATATGTCTGAGCCTCCCCTGGTGAGTGGCCACAACAGTTGGACTCGCATACTTTTTGGAAGAACCAAAAAAAAAAAAAAACAGTTTTGAGCTCTAGAATACGTTTTGGAAGAACAAGTCTTAAAAATCTATTCACTGACTTTTTGGAAAAGAAAAAAAAAAACGAAAAGACTTCCACCTCTTTGGTCACTACTCCCCTGCAACACTCCTCGTCCTCATTAGCATACCAAAGTCTCACTTCATTGGTTGTAAGCTTCACATAGAAGGACTAGTCCGCTTTAGTCTTTACGGTAATTTACACAATTTGATATAGCGTTTCGGTCTTTATGCAAGTCAACATTTTCTATGTATGCAGAAGTCAATTTTCCCCTCTTTTTATACTTTTTTTTCTAAAAAAGAAAGTGTATACAGAAGCCAAAAGTTTTTCTAAGAAGAATATAGAAAATACGACTGCATTTACAATATTTATCATGTTTGTTACTCATCCAGGGAATATCACTGCATTTACAACAATTTACGGATTTCTGAAATTGTTTAAGAAAAGAAACTTCTCTCATAATATTTCAAAAATCTTTGGTTATGTGCTTCCGTATTTACATAGAGATTAAAACAGAAACTATATCATACATATATACAAATACATCTACGAGCAACGAACATCTAATTTCATATATTAACAAAGTTCAGGTCAATAACACAACATTTGTTCTGGTCAAAAATTAGATCTGTATTGAGACTACAAGATCTCTCCCTCCTCAAGATCGTCGATTCTAATAGCGTCAGACATTTCTGACTCAACCTCGTCCAAAAACTCATCATTTCTTAAAAACAGACCCAATTTATGCAACGGAGTTCTTGTCAGATTAGAGGTCCCACAGAGATTAACCAAATCCTCGTTCAATCTCAAGATGTTATTCTCTTCGAAGTCGAATGTTATTTTCATCTGTAAATATTTACAGAAATCAGAATCTTGGTTTTTTTCCAATCTGTTAAACTGTTTTAAGATACTGCGAAAAAAAGGGTTTTAAAATACCGAGAAATACCTGTTCTCGTTCAAGACGTTCTCTCTCACGTCTCTGTTTCAACTCGGTTTCTGCCCTCAATCGTGTAGCAATCTTAGCGGCTCTCATCCCGGCTTCAATTCTAGCTTTCTCTGCATTGTTTTTTACAAGTTAAGAGGCGAAAAAACAAATAGTTTTAGCCTCTTACTTCCATTAGGACATGTAAGTGTACCTTCACGTTGAGTTCTTTCCATCTGTTCCTTTTCAATCTGTATTCTAATTAGATCAGCTTTGTTACTCTGTAAAAAACACAACAAAGACAGCAACTTTAAGTAAACCAAAAGTTGAAAGTCTGTGTTTTTTTTTTGTAATTGGAATCAAGAAAGTAATGATGATACCTGGTCAAGAACTTTTCTGTGTTTAGCTCTAAAAATGGTCTCTGCAAATTGACCCTTGAGTATTGCAGCACGAAGAGCCTTCTCAGGTGGTAACGGAGGCATAGCTGGAAATGTATTTTTCAACTCTGTAGCAATCAAAGAGTGATCTTAAGAAACCAAACCATACAAACAGATGAATCCCGCAGATAAGTTTTAGGAGAGGAATAATATATTACCATTATCCAATAAAGCACTGCTTAAGGGTTTATCAACATGAGAACTAACAGAACCACTTCTCTCATTCTTTGAGCTTATAGACCCTAGAAAGAAATAAGAATAAACTTACTGTTACAAAAGTTGTAGAAAGAGAAAACAAAGAAGTGTTTCAATGAAACGGGAAAGAAAAAAGCTTAAGATTTCTCACCGTTGGAATGTGGATCTGACTCGCTTGCCTGTGAACCTGAAGTGTTCTTTACTAGACAATCCTGTTTCCACAGGGACATTGAAATTTGGATTCCTTTCGTCAATGACAAGACCACGAGGAAACTCAATTCATCACAAGACAAGCAATATTCTGCTCATACCGTTAATGAAGAAACTTCACTTCCAGATGAGTTACAGGACTTGAGGCATATACAAGTAACCCTACCACATGAACCACATTTGCAGGCTGCAGTTAGAGCTGAACCTGCATGCCATATAAATGATTAGCTCCAATGCTGAAGAACAACAAAGCATAAAACTATAAAAGAAAATTATCCAACTCTGTACCCTTGCTTGAGATTTTCACCGAACTGATACCAAGGCCCTGCTCGAGTTTCTTAATCCTCAACTGAAAATGTCAAACATGTGACAATGAATATCAGTAACAACGATAATAACTAAAAGTCTAGGATTCTGATCAAAATTCTTACCTTCGTTGCTACAGCTTTCGGTGTGACAACAGGAGTATCCTTTTTGCTCTGCAATTTCAGTTTCACAGGCTTTAACAAAAGAGAAACCTTTTCGGACTTCTCTTTCACTGGTTTTGACAATTCCACAGAGGATCTCCCAGAGGTTGATGGTGTTTCAGGGCTGCTCTGTCTTACACAATCCACTTCAACTGGCTGTCTTTTAGAGCCTTGTCTGACTTCACTCCCAAATAATTCCGAAATCTTTTTCTTCTTGAGCGATTCCCATCTAACTTCAAAACTCTCCTTGAGCTCCTTTGCCCACTTGTGAACCGAATTCTCGGGAGGATTATACAGCATCGCATTGGTAAAGGTTAACCGGACATCTGCTGCAAACTCATCTCCACTGCTGTAAACATTCTTCAAAAGCTTGGATTTGATTGTGTCTAGATCCATCGGCTTCGATATGACAGTAAAGTAATCAGGGATATTCAACGCAACGGGATCCACAGGCACACCAAATATCCACCCATACTCGTGCCCGCCCAATAATCTTAACAGTGATAAACACTGACTAGCCAAATTACGGTCTAGCTTTTGCTTCTTCTTCGCATGAACCTCCTCTAGCTCGCTAGGTCCACGCTTCTTCGATTGATTCGAGGCTTTAATTACATCTTCGCTTATTGATTTCTCAACTTTCTTCGCATCACTGCATTTGTTAATATCCGGAAACTTTTGGATGGTTTTGATAGAACCTTCAGGACCGAACTTTATCCTCAGTTTGGTTACTGCAACCATTCTTACAGATTCGGAAAACACCTGAACACATAAGGAAACAAGTTTCAAAACTAGAGCTTCTGAAAATTAGGGTTTTCTCTGAGCGACTGCACAGAAGCCGAAATTAGGGTTTATACGTCAAAACGATCAATTTGATTCAACAGTCAGATACCCAACAAATTCCGACTAAATCTAAGTTAAAATTTCCACAATAGAACGGAAATAATTAGGGTTTATCAATACCGATACTTTAGCGATCGACAAAAACTGTGGAAAAAGAGGAAACGCTAACGCTTAGAAACGAAATTACAGGAGCGAATACGAAAGAGCAATGATTCGAGAAATAAAATCGAAGAAACTTACTTGAGGAAGAAACTTATCGCATCGACGAACGATTTTGAGTAAGAATATGCACTCGACGTTAAGCAGAGCGAGGAAGAACACAAAAACGGCGAAGAAAGCTTTCTTTTTTTCCTATATATTGAAGTGAGGCGGTTGGAAAAAAACGCGTACTATTAATTTTCTTAAGGAAAAAAACCTTAAAAATACTTCACTTTATAAACATTTGCTAAAAAAATATCTAGACTATTAACGCTATTTGAAAAACACCTAACATTGTTTTGGCTACCTATTTAATATCCAAACATTCAAAAACCGTAAGTTTGACTCCCCATTTTTAACTCTGTTTAGCTGTTAAACGGAAACTCTAATACGATGTTAATTCCCTATCAAAAACCTTAACAACACGTGTTTAATCAAAGAAAAAAAGACAAAACTACCCTTTATCGAGGAAGAAGTCGAACTGATTTCCCCCCCCAAATTGAAAACCCTAAATCCATTGTTCTTCCCCAAATTGAAAAACCTAAATCAATCTTCATCACAACGACTTCGAATTCGATCATCGAAAAGAGATTATCGTCTGTCAATAGGAGGAAGTGATTTTGCGAGAGTTGCGAAATGAGGTATGGTTTTAAGGATTTAGAAATTTGGGTTGAATTCTGGGTTTAGGTGTGTGTCGTTTATGAACTTTTGGTGTCTTCACTAATTTTCTGTTTGATAATGCAGTGATTCTTTCAAAGTAAATTTGCATTATAGAGGGCGTATGTCTATAAAGGATGGGAACCGGTTATACAGTGGAGAAGCCGTGGAGGAAGTTTAGTCGTCGATCCAGATTTCATGTGTTGGAGCATTTTTGATGAGTACTGCGAGAAGTATGAACGGTTGTGGTACAAGCTCCCGCATCAGAGTTTGGAATCAGCAAAGCATATTGATGAACTCTCGTCTGATTTAGAGTTAATGAAGATGTGCTCTGAAGCTCTTGTAGGAGGAGAAGTATATGTCTACCTTGAGAAAACTGTGGGTGAACCTGTAGCAGAGAATGCAGAAAGAGAGAAGGAAGGAATCGACGAGGAGGAAGGAGCCGAGAAAGAGGAAGGAGCCGAGAGTGAGGGTGGAGTCGAGAGTGATGATGGAGTCGAGAGTGAAGGTGAACCTGTAGGAGAGAATGCGGAAGGAGAGAAGGAAGAAAACGAGGAGGAGGAAGGAGACGAGAGTGATGGTGGAGCCAAGAGTGATGGTGGTGATGCGGATAATGATAAAGGTGTTGACAACCCACACCCAGATGACTTGGCAACAGGAGAAGAAGTTATAGAAGAAGGGATCAATGATATTCGGA